GATAATTTTTCCATAAAAAGTATGCATATACAAGATTACTTGTGATCAGGCTTCCGTAGCTCTAAAACTACTTGAGTTAAAAATTTACTTTGGAGGTTGACCTTTACTGTACAAAAAGGCATAATTAGGTACAAGTATTATACAAACTCATTGCATTTATACATCTAAAATACCTCAAAACATTTCTAACGCGGGAAAGCTTAATCATCCAGCAGTAAAGAAGTCATCTGAACTGGATTCGAAAACTCGTACTAACCTGAGTCAAAGCCATTGCAAAGCTTTTCTTGAATCGACTCTACATAGTCGTCCAATGGTATCGGCGCATCTCCCATTTCATTTCCTACAACCGTTTGTTGCTCAGTTTCGGTTTCACTTTCACCCACTGGAAACTCTCCATCTCCTTCGGTTTCCAAATCAACAAGAATTGTGGGACCGCCGCCATAAATTCCATGGAAGAACTCCCATGTGGCTTGAGGTATCTGAGTAGCTTGTTCAGCATCGATATAGTTCACATCAATTTTCGAATTGTCTATTGGACCTGGGGCTTCTACTTCTATAATTTTGCGTTGGACGAAAGCATGCCACTGAATACACCAGGCCGTTGAAATGTAATGGGTGTTAGGCCAACCTTCTGCTTGCGCTTTGCTGTTTAACTATTTTTCAATTGAAATATACAAATGATAAAGTGGTTACGATTTCGTAAACGAAGTACGTAAACAGAAAATATTTTGTTTTTGGTAGCTATTTCAGTGCTTATTCTTACCTCAAGGAACGATTTCATTTCATGTAATTTTTTCTTTTGCACAGCCAAACAGGCAGGACAAATGATTGACTCGGTCATGGGGGGACACCCACCAAATCGTTTGTGTAGATAATCGTATATTTCTAAAGGAATTTGCATAAATAGATACTCGAGTGATGGTTGCCTATCGGGATCTAAAGCTCCGTGTTGGCACAAAAAGTCGGAATTATCGATCGGACCAGGTTCCACGCAATAATAAAACCTAGGGCGTAAAGCAATTGTTGCATTTCTTGATGTTAATGGTTTATACTTATTAACCTGTTTATCCACTGCTTGGATATATATACCCGTTTGATGTCATCATCTTCATCTATCTCTTGAAACATTGAAGTGACTTCATGTATAATGCCTTCAGCACTGGCTTGGACTTTCCTACAGAATTGAGAATAAACGTTATAAAAAAAAGAGGTGAATACTTACTCTTTTTCATTGAAGGAAAAAGTTTATGGCTGAAAAAAAGTAGTAAAAAGAAATCACTTACCTATAAAATAACACATAAGCTTCACAATTTTGTACTCTTTCTGCTGAAACCTTGCTTACATACTGATCATCAAATTCGTACCATTGGCCCCTATTTAACGCGAAACTGGTGTAATGTCCACCTCCTGCAGTACCATGGTGACAAATCACCGAAAAAAGCTCGTAATTTGACACCTAAAGGCATTAAAAATCACATAAGCGTTTTCAAACATCTTAGTTAATCTGATAATTGATCACCTTCAAACGCTAAAAATTATGTGCAAACTTACCTTTGAAGTGTTGCTTGAGTGTAGGTATGGCCACATATCAAGCCCTTTCAAGGGAAAACTAACAGCTGACGATATTTTACTACTGTACATCAGTTCATGCCTAAACCGTTTTAAATGTATGCATAAGACTTCAGGTAACTGTAACACCTGGAACAAAAGTATCTATCAATAATTTCAATCAGTCAAATAAAAAAAAGTTTTCAGAAATATGCAGAATGATCAAACTGGTTTGATCAGAACAAAATACGATGAAACGTTCTAATCGCATAAAACAATTTTTGTCGCCGTGAATATCGTCCTTCTCAATAATCCCCAATATTTTAAAGTTTTCCATGTTTTGAACAAGACATTAAAAGAGTTGTATATCACTTTTAAATATTTGTAATTCATTTTAAATCAGACGCGCAAAAGTACTTAGCAACGTAAACAAAATTAAGAAACTGTAAAACCTTCACAGATGCAACATTGAGCGGATCGGAAGTACTATTTCTTCCTGCACTAATTATTACAAATCCAATGTATATGCCTATTTTACTAGATTTTCTATTTTTCGGTAGAACGTATAAGGGAATATAAATGATATAAATTCATTAATCTAGTAATATGTTTGAGCAATTGTTGCAAATTGTTATATCCAAATTCACTCACCTTGCTGAACTTAACTCCATTCCTTAGTTTGTTACATTTCTCGCAGCTATACATATTATCACCTTTTAATTCGTCAGTACTGAAAAATGCTGACAAGCAATCGTGCAGTGTTACTACCGGCCCATACCACCAAGATCTAAAAAGCCCCAATTATTTTACCCACTTTTTTCATATAAAGCCATTTAAACAGATTGTTTATAACTATATTTCAAAGGTTAATTCTTAATATGTTATTGGCTATAGGAGTGTGTATAACGAAATGAAACTGACCTTAACCAGGCTAATAACCATGACATCCAACCATCTTGTACAGGTAATACAGCATCGGAACAAGTGGCATTAGGAGTAGCAGTTCTGCCTGTAAAATAATTAAAATCATTGCTCATTTTAATCTTAAACCCGAGAGTGTTTTCATAGCTCAGAGAGAGCTATGAAAGAAGTGGATGTTTCAATTCAGTTTTATGAAAATTTCTCAGTTTTGAGCGAAAGAAACTGGATAGTTTTTTTTATCTTATATTCAGAAGAATGAGAACACGTTTGAATCAAAGCACTTTGTAAATTAGGACAGCTGTATGCGTATGTACTTTTTATTAATGACAAAAACTGACTATTAAACAAGATTATTTAATTGTAAAAACTTACCATGCAAAAGCAACAAATGGTCTCTCGAGGGAATGGGTAAAGACAAATCTTGGAATGTTTCTATACGACTTGAAACGCGATCACATGTTAAACATTGTACGGAACTGAGCAATTTTCCGTCGAAAATATCGGATATAATTGACCGATACTTCAAATGTTTTCTGGGGTGAATTTGATTCGAGCTAAGACCCGGTTGTGAATCTGCAAAATATTGAAATAATTATTATTAACTTCTGTCATTTCCGCCACGACTTAATACTGACCAATAACACTTTGACTAGCCACTCGAAGTCTTTGTCGTCTACCAGGGCTTTGGCATCGACTTAACCTGCGCTTGTTCGCTAAACTACTGACCACTGGAGACTTTCCTCCAGTTTGAGCCTCGTTCACTTGTTGTGCTTCCGAGTCGTCACTAAGTGAGGAACGTTCACTAACACCGGAGTCGCACGTCTCATATTCTCCCTCAGATGAATCGTAACTAAGACCAACACTATGAGTCTCTTCCATGGCAAGACTAAACAAAAATTAGTTACTTGAAAATCATGAACTATTACATGAGATTTAACTTTTTACCTGAACGTGTCAGAATCGTTCGTATTTGCAAATTCCGGAGCCACGGGCTGTTTTAATTCCTCGTGGAGCTGATCCATAAAATTCCGAAGAAATTCCTGTGTATCATGCTGGTGATACCCCCGAAACATTGCATGTACGCTCCTAATCCCATAGAGAATTCCTATTAAGAAATCAAGCATCAGTAAACGAAAAACTGCAATAGATTCTATTTTCATAAGTACTAACCAGAAGGTGTCACAAATCCCTGAGCGTTTCTTTTCACCCACATATCTCTAATCAGGGCCTGATATGTCCTACTTAAACCAGGTTTTTTTCCTTCCGATAATATTTCAACAATATTTGCGCAATCCACAAAATATCTGGAAAACATCCAAACGATTATCAGAAATCAAAGCTTTTATTCAGCCTAAGGCTTTTACAGACAGCAAAGCTATTTTACACATATTTAGTCAAGATTTATTTTAATAATTTCATGAAGCTTAATGTGTGTTAATCAACCAGCACCAGTGTTTTTTTCTTTAAGTATTAATAAAATTTTATGGAAGTGTCGAAAGACGTTCAGAAGTTATTAAACATGCAAGGTATACAAAAAAAGACAATTTAAATACATTTAATCGAATTAGATCTATTACGCAAAAGTCTCTTTTTCTTCAAAGTTGTTTCACATCGGAATCCCAAAGGCGGATTAAATAATTTAATTGAAATAATCGGTTTTAAACTCCCACAAATAAACATGTCGAAGCACATAAATTAATGTCCTCCCTCAGAAAAGCTTGAGGAACGGACTATGACTTCAAATGTCTGAAGTTGGAATCTCCCGTTTTTTTTTTTGTTTTTTGCTTTCAAAAGAAAGAATCTCCCGTCATGAGAGTAACAAGAACAAATTTTCCATTTGAAAAATGCCCAACATTCACCTCAAACCTCAAAAAAAGTACGCAAATTGCTACAAAAGACATGCTTCAATCTCTACTTCCTTTCATATTTTAATACTGCATTCTACCAGTATTGAAGTATAATAATAAAATATTTACCTTGTAAGTGGTTTAGTGTTGCTTAGAGCTTGAAGTGCGGCGTTCATATAACAAGTATTTCCTAGAAAAGCAAACCAATGATGATATTAGATAACGTTGAAAAAAATATTTCGAATTAATTTGCTTACCAATGTTTTGTAGGCCAACTAATCCTCTATTTTTATTGCTAGCAGTGCAGCTTCCAGACTCACCAACATCACTGGAGTCGGAAGCATCCCCATCGCCGTTCATCACGACATTAAGTCCAACACTGTTTTGAAAAATTGGCCCTGCAAACAAACAAGATCTAGTGCTTTTAAGCCATTTAAAAATATACTAAATTCAGCATAATTTCTAATGAAAATGCCAGCTACCTCTATCCGGACTATTAGCTCGCAAAGTGGCATAACTTCCATGCCCAGAATCCTTATTAAACATAACACTGTCAGTATCATCCTGATCACTTTCACAGCCCTTTGAGTAACTGATGCGTTTGCTTTGATCCAAAAACACTTCGCAGTTACACTCATAGCACCATATGCGACTTGTTGAAAGATTCATGTGAACGCAATGATACGGATCGTTCTAAAATGGTTAGAAATATTCAGATGAATCCCAATAGTTGACTGACGAAAAAGTATGACCTACACTATTATGAATCGTACTATGATCATTTGATTTTTCACTACAACCAATATGACTGCAACTCTTTTTCAGGCAAAGCCATAAATTTGGCCCTCGGCAATCGCAGTCCGAACAGCATATTTCCTAAAATTTAATTTCGATTTTATTTATCTAAAAGTTCATTATGTGGTATTGCAAAATATAAATGCATTCTCAATTTACATTGCGAAATAGATAAGATAACGTAATGAGTCATTCTAACTTCACTTACCACTTTCTTGTTTAAAGTGTCGGAAATTTCATGTATATTCGTTACAGAATCGGCT